AAAAAAAGCAGCATATGCATCAAAATAAACTATTTCCAGCAGTGCAATATGAGTCCTAAGCATCCCAGAAACGACACAGAAAGTCATAAAGTCAAACATAACTTTTAAAAACACCAGTACAGGCTCATGAGGCCCTGATGGTAAAAAACTACATTTCCGCAAAATGACGTCACTTCCGGTTTCGGGCAGGTAATGGTGGACATACGATAGTTCGCGCTGATGGCTTTAAAGGGTTAAAGACCTTTTTCTCAAGAACCAGTGCCATGTTACATATTATATATTATATTATGTTAAATCTGATGCTGTGAAAAAGCAATGAGCAGCACTGTCACATTGTAGTTGTTATTAAAAAAGGGAAAGTTTGGAAAGTTAAAAATGTTGAAACAGAAAAGACTTGACCCTGGATCCTCTGCTGTATCGTCAGTGAGTTATATGGTTTTGTTTGAAACAAATTAAAACCCATACATGTAAAATGATAATCAATTTATTTTTTACGTTTGTTAGAAGATTTAATATATACCCCAGTTCAGTATGTTTCAAGTTTTTCCACTTTGCAAAACATGAAAATTAGCTTTCTGTTCCTCACTTACAGCTAATCTTTAATTGAAGCTGACGTGCTGGTATATAAATGACATGTAGTGAGCTTCACAGTGGTTAATCATAGCAGCTATGTTCTGCCCATGTATGCATTAAAATTTCTTTAGTAGAAGAAGTTTTTATTTTCTCACCTGCAGGTTTTCTAGGGTCCAGCGTAGGTCCAGGTCCAACGTCTCCATCTGAAATAAAAGAAAACAGAGTGAATGGAAGAAGAAGAAGATGGGGGGATAGTTTGGACAGATGGAGGAAAGCATGTGAAAAAGCAGAGAAAGGAAATTATGAAATCGGGTATGTTCCACCTTGAGATTTATACAGCGAAGATGTCCATAAATATTAGTTACAATCTAAAAACTTAAAACACAAACACAATACAATAAATACTTTCAATTTAACAAGAAACTTAGAGGAGGTGCTACATTTCTACATGACACTGCAGAGCAGCTCAACAAACCTTTACCAAAAATCCTCAGTTGCATCTCTAAGGGGACAAAACTTTTATAAACCCATAAAGGCTCACGAAAACTACACTTATGCTGCCAGTATAAGATTTTGCAGCAGCACGTAGTAGAGTTATGTATGCCAGACTGGACAAGAGCATAAACCTGATGGGGACTGCTGCTTTAGAAAATCTGAATGTCAGAGTAAATGACCTTTAAATTAGAGCAGACCAAACCTGGCAACCTTTTCTGACTTGGAGTGGAATATCTTGGAGACGTTATGGAGCATTAGGTTTGTTTTCCTCTTGGGTGAGTTTTTTTGGTACTATTTTTATGTTTTATAATGTAAAGAAGTAAAAAAGGACCCAAAAAAGAATGAGAGTAGAGGGAAAAATCAGACAAAGAGGCATTTTTAGAGTCTTGGCATGTGAAGTGCTCTGTGAATTATTAAGTCCCTGCAGATGTGTCTGGCAGAGAAACAAGCAGCGTGTGATGCCAGGAAAAGGCAGAACGAAGGACAAATGAGAAACATACAGACACACATCTAACCTGTAGTGAATGAAACATACGAGTGTGTGCACACTGTGCTCCACAGTTATTTTAAAGCAAGGACAAAACTGCCTTTGTGCAATTTAAATAAAGCGTCTTCTTACCTTTGACTGGAGTTGCATCTGTATCGGTGATCTGAACGAGCTTGGTGAGGTGATCTGTTCAGAATAACAGGCACAGCTCAGAGTGGACAACAGACTAAAGTTCAACATTCGTTCTGAAGAATTAGAGGACTTCCACCTTTTCAGGCCTACACACAGCCTTGGCTGTTGTTTGCATGTATCCTCGAGTGCTGATGTATCTGTATTTCTCTGACATCAACAGTGAAACTGAGCCGTTGTTGTTACACTTGGAGCTGATAAACACCGAACAATCGCTACTTTTACTGAAATGCATGAAACCAGAAGACTTCACAACCAAGTCCACGCACAGACTGTTAGTGCTCTATTAGTGTAGACTATCTCCTGCTGTCTGATACATGTGAGAAACTGTCACTTATGTATGAAAAGAGCTTAAGAAAATTACTCCTTCATTCTCTGCTGCAGGTAGCAACATGTATGCTGGTAAAGTAGTCCATGCAAACAAAAATACTCGAGTTTCATTACAAAGTAAAGCAGTTTTAATAAAAGACATCAAAGAAAACCCTGAATACAGTAAATAAGGCAAATTAAATCAGTACTTCCATACGTGACATGTGAGCTCACCAAAATACATCAAATACATGCATTAGAATAGCATTTTTATAACATACATAAAAATGCTATTTTAAAGTCCTTCACAGTTAAGTTGTTTTGGGGTTTTTTGCCAACAATCTGTAATACTTTGAATAAAACATAACTGACCGGTGCAGTTGGGGATCACATGGAGGGCCGTGGTACCACTGACAGGTTTGCCATCAGGCGTGGAGCACCAGCAATATCCGGTCTGGTTGTGGCACTGTATGGGCATGAAGTGACCTTCGGGACCGCACGCAGGCACAAAAACTGCAGCTGCAGGACTACCACGGCTGCGGGCTCTGGCCTCAAGGCCCTGAGCTCGGGCCAGCTGGCATTTAGTCTGCAACGGATCTAAAACAGAGGAAATTAGTATCCACATGTGCTGCTATAGATGGGAAGAGTGGAAATCATGAATCCTGATGACACAGATGTGCATACTGTTGCTCTGCCGACCAATAAAAAGTAGTCATTGTTAATTTAAGAAGAATGTTTCTATTGACTGAGTTGATTCACTTGGGAAGAACATTTTAAGCTGATTGAATGAAGGACAGGAGCACAGTGGTGTCCGTTTATTTATGCTCCCGGTTTAAGATTAAAACAGTCATTAAGAGCAGGCAGAGGTGGCAGGAAACTACAGCTAATTAATAACAGGCGTCTTTTTGTACTTGTGATATAAAGCAGCTCAAATTCAGATAGAAACATGAGAAAAGTTTATTTCAGTTCCGATTTTTTAAGCCAGTAAACTCACCACCAGAGCATCATGGGAAACATTAAGATCAGCTTGTGATGATGTCGCTGTAAAGCCCTGTACCTGCACAGTGTCCCCGTGGGACGTGGCGGAGCTGTGTGTTGATGCACTGTGCCCTCTGAAAGGCACACAGCGATTTATACAGCCTGCCATTGCTGCCACACACAGGTCTGTGGCGCCCCCTCTGGCAGTCCAGCACACAACCACGAGGCCACATGTTCTCTGTGATCAGGAAGGGCTGCAAACAAGAAACATTTAGAGTGTACGCTGATTGTCATGTCAGTTATAAACACACTATGAAGGGAAAAGACAGTAAAAAGAGGTTTTAAAGCTTCAACATGTCAGCCGTCTGTGAAGAGGTTATAGTTTGTTCATATCTGTCTATGAGTTTTCAGTTTCTCTCTCCTGTGTCCTTGCATCTCATTTAAAAGTCTCTGTGCTTGGTGTTTTTCTGTCTTGTTACATCCTACTTTCTATTGATAGACTGTGTCTGGTGCATGTTTTAGCTTTACTTCCCCTTGTCATCTTATCCTGATTTAGTTCAGCTGTGTCCTCCAAGTGTGTCACCTCTCTCTGTGTATTTATAGTCGCTGTCTCCTTTTGGCAGATCGTCACGCTACAGCTGTGAAGGATAAAGTGACCAGAACTTTGTCTGACTATTAAAGTCACTCCTTGAAAGAAAACGAGTGAGAGAAAAGAGAATAAACGGCCTCACAAATGTGTCGGGAAAGGCCGTTACGGAGCGTGTCTTTCTCACACCTGCAGTTTTACCTGTAAACTGGCTCCAGCTTTGCAAACTGAGTGGATAAACTTTATTAATTGAGGGAGAATGGCAACTTTTATAGTTATTTATTCACCTTTCAGTCACTTTCATTTTAAACTGTGTAATTTTAAAACTGTATATTCTGTGTATTTATTATCTCAGTCTTATTGCCTGTTCTTATTGTTCTTATCTTTAACTGCTCTGTTGTACGGTATGTTAATTGTGCCCTGGGGATAAATAAAGTCTTTCTGATTCTTCCTGCACAGTCTCCATTTCTTCTAGGAGCTGTGATTGGCTCTGTGCCTCACGGGGAGACTTTAAGGTGCATTAAGTGATTTTTTTTTTTTTTTTTTAATTTTCAAGGTAAATATAATGAATGAAAAATGAGTCTGTGACAAGCAGCATAATATTTTGGAAGAACTCTCATTAAAAGCTCTAAGAAGGCAGTGGAAACATGGCCAAAAGCTATTTAGACTGCACACCACAGTTTCCTCTTTTCTGAGCCGTACAATTTATGCTAATCTTTCACGATTCACCAAACTGCTTCCAAAATAATTCTGACGTTTTTACACTGCCATGAAAATACAATTTACAGGACTAATACTGCTACTGCATTTTACTGGGCACCACTCAAACATACCAGAAGAGGTACATTCGAGACACTGGGGATCAGAAAGGCCCCAGAAGAAAAATCCTTGTGAATTTTGTTGTGCATGATCAGATATAACAGACAAACCTTCAGAGCAAATTCTTCCAAAGATACTGAGAATGCACAACATGTAAACTTGTGACAAAGAGAGAGGAAAAGGGAGGAGAAGAGGCATTGATTCATGGAGAATCTGGTGAGTGCGATGACCTAAATTACTCCCACATGAGCCTTAAAGCCCACTCTCAAGTCACAATCACACACATCTCTATTTAAATACACACAGATTCCTCACACCGCCTCGCAGACTCACCGAAAAGTCCCCAAACATACAAGGTGGTGCACACTCAGCTCACGCCTATACAATACATACAGAGTTGGCTGCTAACTCCACCCTCTCGCTCTTCATCAGAGCCTCTTTGTCAGCTGGCCTCCCCTCTCTCCTCACACACACTCTGAGACACACGGGTAAATTTGCTATGGTGTGTCAAACATTGCTGACATAATTTAGTGCTGAATGAGGCCTCTAATTAATGTCCTGGCATTAAGGCACAATGTATTGACTGTAGAGATTAATGTGAACAAATCAAGATACACAAACAGAGCGAACAAATAAAGCTTTGCTGCTGCTCTCTCCTCAGACACAAGAGCAAACACGACCAATTAAGTTATTTTAGTGAGCAAACATGTCAATCATTTGCTGGTTTTATGCAGACTGTTATGACGTGGCTTTGCAAATGTAATAATTTAGCTATTAGGGGTCCACACGTCGTTGGTGTTGCTTCAGTTCATTGAGATTTGTGGGGTATTTGTTCACGCACGTTATGATATGACGTGTTTAGGCCAGCCACCAATTCCACATGTTGATATGATCCTTGGACATTTACCCACAATGTACTTTGTGATGTTTGCGTCGTCCCTGAGTAATTCAACAGCCGGTGACTCAGAAATGAAGGTAAAAAATTGAAAAATTGAACGCTACGAACTCAATCAGCTGATTCAGAAGAGGTCAGAGTGAGTCGTGGATTTTACACGGAGGACAAAAGGAAGAATGAGAGGAACGCATCCTGGAAGAGAACGAGGCAATTAAGAAAAAATAATAAATGAATAAAACACTGCCAAGGGAAAAAATGATGAATAAAAAATATGTTTTTAGTTATGAAAAGAAAAAAAAAATTAATTTGAGGACAGAGAAAAAATAAAAACTTATTAGTGAAAAAGAAGCCTAGAGGAGGTGCAAGAGGATTGAAGGGTGGAGCAGGAGTCTAGCTGGTAGACTGGCTTTCCTGTCTGTCAGGCACAGCTACACCAACGACTCCTCAGTGTTAAAATGATTCGCATCAATGTATCTGGCCTTGTAAACTCGAGCCTGAGTGTGTGCGAGCAGCAGAGAAAGTGAGAACAAGCTGCCACTGTCTCCTCCTGCCTCGCACCTTCCAGATTCCTCAGAGTGGCGGCTGTAGGAAAACAGAAAAACTCATCTCCTGAGCTTTGCCGTGTGATGTTTGGCGTGAGAGAGCAGCTGATGCTGACGAAAGGCCTGTTAACACCCCGAGCTGGGATTTAGCGTCAGAACAAACTGCCTGTGTCGTGGGGAATCACTCACTTAGCATTTTTTTTTTAAAAGTCTGAATTTAATTTATGCAGCAGGTCATTAAAGGGCAAACACACACAGATGAATGATGACGACATGTTTACATCTCAGGTGCAGATGTGTGTGCACAAACATCACCTTGTTTTCTTCATGCATTCCCTGAGAAGACACATACCATCACACTGCTACACATACATATGGTGCGACTGGAGGAGACCAGCTCTTTTGTATATTTCAAACCATCCATCCAGTTTCTGCTGTTTATCAGGTGAGACACCTTCTCCCCTGTCACCTCCTCTAGCTCTTCTCGCTGGACACTGAGCCAGTTTAGAGATGTAATCCCTCCAGCGTGTCGTGGGTCCATCCTGGGATTTTCTCCCAACTAGAGTTGCCTGAAAAATCTCCGCAGGCATCCAGGAGGCACGCCCGAACCACCTCAACTGGCTGCTTTCAGTGAGGAGGAATAGTTGCCTAAAGCAACTACCAGTGAGAGCAGAGGACATGAATGACTGACTCTGGTGGGGGAATTAAAGCAATCAGACACCGGAATATCCACACGCCTCTGAATTTGTAGCACCAGCCAAATTCTCATTCGCTATTTTACAGTTTCCAGACTCACAGTCGCACGGGGAGATGAGACTAACATCACCGTCCAGCTTCGTATCATTTATTGGCTTTAAATGCCCTACACAGCTTTCTCATACAATCTGGTCCACGAAAAGTTAACACATAAACTGGTTTAGCTTTTATTATGTTTAGTCAAACAACATACTACATTTTCATTACAGTTCTGCAAGTAGGACGCCCTGCAGACTTTAATAAAACTGATTCCAAAATGGAGAATTTTCTTCTTGCACATATTCTCTCGTTCAGTGATCGTGTAGGACATCTCGTTAAGAAGTAAAAGACCGTTTAGTTTATGTACGAATTTCCTCTGATGTCTTTGTGAATTTTTGTATCTGGTTATGGCCCTAATACTGTAAAATCCAAACACATTATCTCAACATAGAGATCTTATTTATAAAGATATTATGTCCCTCGTAAAAAGCACTAATACAAAAAAAAACAACAAAAAAAAAAACAGAAGGAGGTACGGGACAGCTGGACTCCCACAGGAGATGTTGTGGGTCAAGTTCAGCATCTTCCAGCCTGAGCTGCAGGGACATCACTTCTTGTCATCATTCATCATTCACCAACTACAACTACAGCCTCTGTCAGGATTTTACAGCATGCCAGGGGCTCACTCAGAGGCCAGGCTGCTGTCAAACACTGTCAGGGTTTTTATGGTACAGTCTTCTATCCAGTCCAGCAGGAAACAGCGAGCAGAAAGAAGACAGAAGCTTTACAAATGCAGAGATATTTTTTAAAACTCTATTATGACGATGCATTCAGGCACCAGTGGGAAACCTAAAACAATATACAATGTTAAAAGTTATTTTATTGATGCTATTATTAACAATGTAGTTTTAATTCTTTATAACTGGAAGAGACATTTTTGATTTCTTGAGACATCACAACCCCAATTCCTTTTTTTTTTCTTTTTCCTGTCCCGTTTGGCTCTTTTGCATCAGAATTATTGTCTAAAGGCGAAGAAAGATGCTCAACGGATTTACTTTACCACATGGACCATCCCAGCCTTGCCATAATGGTCTATTTGATTCACCTTTTATTGTTTATTTTATTTTCACTTGCTAAATACGGGACAGACTTGACTGGGGAAAAGAAAGAGGGAAAGAAAAACAGCAGGGAAGAGGGACGGGGATAAAGGGCAAAAAACAAAACAACAAAATAAGCAGA